AGGGGACGCAGGGAAGTGTTGCTCCCTCAGGGTGCTTGTTAGCGAAAGGCCGTGTTAGAAGAGGTGGGATTCCAATGAGAGCAGGGCTAGGCACACATTATATCTCTTGAGTTTTGCCTTCTTGCTAGATATAAAGAGCAAGGATTTGCTATGGGCTTGTCTGCTTTAGAAACCTGCCCCACTTAACTCCGCCTAGCCACAGCGGTGCACGCCCCTAATACAGGCACTTAAACTAGTTTTAGTCACACTTGCATATCTATGTCAGGGCTTTGCACAAGTGGGATGAGTTTGGTTTTTAGTGGCACTGGGGCAGGCTTTTCCAGGGCAGACCTGCATCTGCGTGCTTCCTGATCCATCAGCTCTTCCCCCTCCCCAGCTGGCCAACCTGTCTTCGCCTACCCTTTCTCACAGCCTCTCCTAAGCAGCTGGGTTCGCTTTGAACGGCTGAAGCAAGGCTTCTCGAGGGGGGCTGAAGTGAGTCTGCTGCACCCTGCAATTCAGTGCTCCTCTCTCCAGCCTCTTCCTGGTTCAGGGGCACATCTTCTCTCACAGGCTTTGCTGGTAATTTTTAGCACCCCAGGGAGCTGCCAGCCCTCGGACCTCTAGAGACGTCCAAGCCCAGACGTCTGTGCAGTGTGACCATTCTGTTAGGTCTAATGATGCACGACAGACAAACTGCCCCATATCCCCAGTTTGTATCTAGCCCATGCACCCAATTACTGGCTCTTTGCTGAAGCCACGCGCACCCTTGGTGATGAGTGAATCTCAAAGGATTTGGCCGGCTCGCTGTGGGAGGCCTGAGAGCTCTACCTTCATCCTGGGGTTTGTTCAGCTGAATGGGGAGAATATCCAGTAGCCCTGTGAACACTTGAGACTGCTGCTGTTTTGGAATGAATGTCAAGCTCATGAAAGCAAAAACAGAAAGTGCTGGCTACAGGCAGCCATAGCACAAACAGAGCCCCAGACCCAGCTCTGCTGATGCATTTCGTTCCGGGCTTGCAGCACACCTGATATTCCAGACCTGGGCTCCTCCCAGCTCTGCCAGTGCCCTGCCGTCATGAGCTTCAGAATCCCTGGCTGCCCAGTCCTGTGCATCTCCTGAGACACCACCGGGGGCCGGGGGAGAAGACACCTCTCTGATGTGGGCAGATGTTCACTAGGGGTGAGACTGAGAACATCCAACTGAGCTGCATTTGGGTCCCAAGCAAGACTTGAACCTAGGGCCCAAAAATGAAAGGCTAATGGAAATCTTGGGACCACAGCAAATGTGTCATGTGGGGTAAATACAGCCCACAGCCAGTGCTGCTAAACCCCGGCCTGGTTATTGCTGGGATGGGGGTGGGGGCCAGCTCAGCAACTAGATTGGTGAACAGACTTCTCACCGGCTGGGTTCGGTGGCACATTAGGGAGAACCCTTCCTCAATCTCTAACAAACCACCATAATTTCCCAGCCCCAGTCCTTACTGGTGGGTCCCTCCACCTCTTTGCCTAACATCCCTGACATTGCGCACTCTTGGTTCCCTCCCCAAACCCATGACCCTTCTCTCCCATGTCCTCCTGCCTTCCAGGTGCTCATCCCTAACCTAGCACTCTCCTTCAGGCTGCCTTCCAAGTGCTCAGCATCCTCTGGTCAGAGGTGTCCTCTGTTAAAAACATCCCTAGGAACGAGGGTCATTCACTGATCAAATGCTTGTAGCAGAAAAAGGTATAGTCACGTGTGTCTTCAAAAACTCTGCACTGCTTGCACAAGAAGAAAGACTGGTTCGGTGCTATAGCAGCTCCTTCTGCTGACTCCCTTCATAACGGCATCTTACAAATGAAACCGCCACTGATCCCAGTGGCCTAGTGCAGGGTGAACAACGTTCTCTTTTCTTTAAACCACCTGCTGGAGCCCAGGACTTATTGGCTGCTGTCCGTGCTGGAGCAGCCAGGGTGGATCTTCGTTCAACAGCACGCTCTCTGGCTGTGGAAGGAGAGATGTGGATGGGCTCGGATAAGAATTCTGTCCAGTTGCCCTTTGGCTGGAATTTAGAATGATGCTGACTGAGGAAGGCAAAATCCTCTTTGCCTTTTGGGTAAAGATGAGTTAAAGTTTGGGAGGAGAGGGAAGTACTGGAAGGAGGAGCTTTAGTTACTGATCCTTCCCCCACCCCAAAAGACAATTTACAATATATTTTAAATTGTTTCCATCAGATGCGGGCCCCTTTCCCAGCTCTTAGACTCCTGGGCCCCTGGCTTATTCTCAGCATCACTCTGACTTATTCTCCTTGACTGAACAGCCTGGAAGACACAGCTTTTTAATTACTCTGTGTAGGTCAGTCCAGCAAGCAAACTGGTTGGGAAAAGCCTTAATTATACATCTCCTTCTGATCATGAGCCTATGTAAACTGAATCGCCATCCACCCACACAGGGGTGTGTGCACAACCCACTTCTGCCCAGTAGGGGGGACTCTTGAGACATCTTTGGCTGCAAATCTGGTTGTGCTGCAAACCACTGACACGTCCTTTATAAATCACTTTGCTCCTCTCCGTGCCATGTTAAGAGGAGCAGGGCTTCTTTCCAGGGTCGGAATCTAATCATAGGTCACTTTTACGGCGGCAGAGGAGTTCAGCGTGGCGCTGTGAGGTGCAGTTGGGCTGGGTGCACAGCAGAGCCCGTGTGTCCATACGGCCCAGTGGCTGAAGGACTTGAGCAGGGATCAACCTTATAGACAGCAGGCCTGCTGGCATCCTGCAGCACAGGACAGACACAACGTGGCCCCTGGGTACTTGGGGGCAGGCACAAGGGACTGATCCTAAACGCCGTCAGGAAACAGCAGGTTCACTGCACCGCGCTCCACTGCTAGGCTAGCCCAGAGCAGGGCAATGGAAATGATCAGGGGCTTCCATACGAGAGAGGCTGAAAGACTAGGGGCTGCTTAGTTTGGGGAGGAGATGGATTAGCGGGGATGCGATTGAGGTATCTAAAATATTGGCTAGTCCCATCACAGTCAGTCGAGTGCTTCTATGTATCCTCCTTTCTAAGACAAGGACAAGAAGGGCAGCCAGATACAGTAAAACACAACCTGTGGAACTCACTGCTGCAGGATAACACTGAAGCCAAGAGTCCAAGGGGATTAATAAAGGATTGGGTGTTTATTTCAACAGTAAGATGATCAGAAGTGATTAGAGCCAGATTCCAGAAGACTTCCAGCTTTGGGAGGTCTGGCTGGTGTTTAGCTCCCATCCGTGGTACTACAACTCCCAGTGGCCAATTCTTAATGTTGTTTTGTGTGCCACATAGAAATGATGAGCTGTACACTGAAAACCACACTCACCTTCCCCAGGGTCTTGTTCCATTATTTCCTAGCAAAATATGTCTGGGCTTCTGTGAGGGTTTTCCACCTGTCTCCTGGGTCACTTACAGTGGTTCGCACAACAACTGGACCTAAACGGAATTAAAACACAAATAAGGCGCTTTGCATGTTCTTGTCTTTTGTTGTTGTTGTTGTTTCTTTTGCTTTTTTGGTTGCATTTCTATTTATTTATTTATTTTTAGACTTGGTAGTGAGTAAGTCTGCTAAGGAGCTGAGAGGCACTGAAAAGTGTTATTGACAAACATACACATATCACTTTTCACAGCAGACTTACTCAGCCCCAGCAAGCTGGGGGACAAATTAAGCCCTGGATGGGAACATGGGTGGGGAGGCAGCGAAAGCCAGGGGCAATGGGGGAATGGATGGGGTGCCGGGGGAGGCGGCAGGGCCAGCAGTGATGTCGAGGGTAGTAAGCGTGGGGCCAGCACCCAAAGCTGGAGCCTACCGCCACATGCCCAGAGCCCACTGCCCCGCAGCTAGGAGCCCCAGCCCGCCGCCCCAGGGCTGAAGCCAGAAGTCTGAGCCCCACTGTCCCCAGGAAGGTGGGGAATTCACACCAGCTGCCTTCTCCTCTGGCATTCATGGCTCCACCAGGGGGCAGGGCCCAACCCCTGCTGGCAGACCCTGGGGAGGAGCTGCTGCTTCCCGCCCCCAATCACCACCCAGGAGCCTGTGGCCGCAAGAAAAGCCCCGGGTGGCTGTGTTTGAGAAACACTGCTTTAGAAGCTGGTCATCTTAATCTAAGGGGGAGTGCACTGGATTGGGAATCAGGGGATCTGGATTCTATTCCCAGCTCTATCCCTGCCTTGCTGGGTGACCTTGGGCATCTGGGCCTCTGGTTCCCGTCCCACCCTTTGTCTTGTGTATGTAAGATGTTCAGAGCAGGGGCTCTGTGTGTGGGGTGGTATGCTCAGCACAGTGGGGTCTTGCTGTCAGATGGGTCCTGTTGGTATTACTGTGTTACAAATCAATTAGGGCAGGAATTACTCTTAAAGGAGAATCGGAGTGGTAAGCGTGGGGCAGGCTTGGCTTCCAAGGGAGAGCAGCTGCTATGCTTTGTTTTCAGAAGCATCCCTGGCAAAACAGTCAATTGCGTTACAAGATGGGGAGGGAGAGTTTCCGCAAACTCCCCCATGCCTCTGTTCCCTCCCCCTCCCCATGAGCAGTCCCATCCCTAGCACGAGGTTTAATTAAAGAAGGGGGTGGGTGCACTAAAGCCTGGTCTGCACACGGCTTTTGTACCGGTATAACTGTCCTGAGCAGGGGTGTGACTTTCTGTTACCGAGCTGGTTAGATGGGCACAACCCCTAGCGTGGACCCAGTTAGACCAGTACAAAGATGCCTTCCTATGCAGGGATAGCTATACCACTGTGAGCACCTCTGGCTGCGTTTGTACAGCCCCTAGCACAGCTGCGGGTGGGATCGTCTATGATGGAGGCCCCTATGTCTTATTGCAGTGCAAATAAATAATGTTCATTGGATCTCCTGCGAGGAAGGGCCCTAGAAATGCGCAGAGGATCAGAAAATGATCCGTTGCCTCCTGACTCTCCCCAGCCCTGCCCTCCCCCCCAGTTTATCTCCCAGCGAGCTGGGCTCCCCCAGATGGCCCTGACTCTCTCTCTCTTTCTCATCTCGCTCTCTCAGGCTTTAAATCGTGTGTGAGCAGTGGGAGCAGCCAGCCCCCCGTGGTGAACAGCAAACACCTGAGAGTCCCGGCCATTATCATCACACCTCCTACCCCCACGGGCATGACGCTGTCCAGAGACGCCAGGCAGTCAGGTGAAGATCCGGCGCGCAACAACTGCTGAGCCAGATGCTGTGAGAATAGGAGCAGCGCAGCACGCGAGGCGAGCAGCGGAGAGCGCATGAAAGAGCAGGCGCTGTTTCACAGGCACCGGGAACAGCTTGCATGGGAACCCATCTGTGCCGTGTGTTTTCCCCTGTCCCTTCCCCCTCTCTTTAACAGGGTTTATTAAAGATTCATTAATGGATCTGCACACACCGCACTACTGGGATTGTCACACTGCTCCGAACTCCAGCAAGCTGTGGCATGTTAAGTAATTAGCCAGGCAGCTCCTCTCAGGGAGTGATGGAGCAGATTGATGGCTGGGGTGGGGGAGACGGCCGCACTGCTGCATCACGGTGATTTGGAGGTGGCTTTTCCGGCGCGGGCCCAGACTGCAGCCTTCCCTTGGCCATTCAAATCACCATAAAAGGGCATGGCTGGGGCCGAAGCTAAATCAAGGGGCAGGTGCAGGGAGCATTCTCTGCCCTGGTCACCGAAATCCTTTCTGCGGCTCCTTAATAGATCGGGTTGTTCTCGTGGATCCTCCGTGCCATCAGTGAGGCAGCGGGATATGCGTCGCGTCCTGCCCTGATGGAAGCCGAGTGGCCCAAGTTTTGGCTGGGCTCACCATCCCGCAGGCTGGCTGGCAGGGTAGAAAGGTTCCGCTTTGAGTGCCAGATCGCTGCGGGGAAGACACTGAACGTTTTAGCGGCAGGCAACTGCTGTGCTGCAACCCATAGGCAAGGCTGGTGGCTCCCGATCTAGGAGAGGAGCGTGAGCTGGGATGGAAGGGACAGATCGCTGCCATCAGGTCGGAGAGGCCGGGTGCCAGCCCTCTCCTGGTGGCCAGGAGGTGAGCACTCCAGTGCTTGACATGGCAACATCTCACCAGAGCCCTGTGTTCATGAGAAGGACCAGGAAAACCTGACCTCGGCCCTGGCCGTCACCTGAATGGGGGTCGTCACAGGCCTTCAGCTGCATGAGCCCAGAGATGACAGGAGCGTCACAATGTTTTCTGTACCAAGTTCATGCTCCGGCATTTCTGATGTACCAAACCCAGGTGGCCAAAGGTGGGGGAATCCCAGCTAGGTTTGCAGGGAGGAGGGAGGTTTGGATCTATTTGAGGAGAGGCAGATGCAAGCCGCTGATGGGAATACAAGCCTGCCATCAGTTTCGGTGTATGGCAACCTTGCTTCCTTGATCACTTCTTTCAGCATGACCTGAGCATGTGCCCTGCTGCTCTGTGGGGATAGGTACCAGTAGCCCAAGGAAGAGCCCATCTGAGCTTCACAGAGTGGGGAGAGGAGGGAGCTCTTTTGTGTATCATAGAATCATAGAATATCCGGGTTGGAAGGGACCTCAGGAGGCATCTAGTCCAACCCCCTGTTCAAAGCAGGACCAATCCCCAACTAAATCATCCCAGCCAGGGCTTGGTCAAGCCTGACCTTGAAAACCTCTGTGGACGTTGCCTAGGGGATTTGGGCTACTGGGACCCCTCCCCATCTGGATCTGCTGGCCCAGGCAGCACTTTCTTTGCTGCTGGAAGTGGCTAGATTGGGATGCTGCCGACTGCAGTTTGTGCCTCGAGCCATCGCCCACAACCCCCTGGCAGGCCAGCCTGATCGAGGGTCTCTGAGGGGTGGGGGCATGGAATCCCTCCTCTCCCAGAAGAGTGAGCGAGCCATGGAGAGCCCTGGTGCAGCTGGGCAGCCCTTCGCGGTTGGCTTGGGCGCTCATGACACCTGCGTGTCCTTCACTCTTTCTTTGCCAGCACGTGGGCGTGCAGCGTGGGGAGGGAAGCAGACGCACATAACTGTGAGATACCGTGGCAGAGTCACGGTGAGATACAGCGGGGAGAACAACCTGAGAATTCCCAGTCCTGACAAAGGAACTGAATTCACCAAAGGGCGGAGTCTGCTGCCTCTAGGGGTGGGGGCCATCTGTCCCAGTCTATGCCACCAATGCAAGCTGGTCTCGTGTACTTGTGGGATCCTAACCATGTCATGAGGGTGAATGGGCATGTTTTAAAGTGGACTGTCTTGGCAATATTTTAAAAAGGGCTAGGAGTGATTTATAAGGACTTGTTATTTTATTACAAATAAAGATCTCTTTGCCCCACGGTCTCTGTCAGATTGTCTGTGTGGAAGACCCCGGCACTCCCTTGCTCCGGCATGCTGTGTCTTGCCTCATCAAAGCAGCATCCCAGGCTCAGATATGGAACTGGTCCCAAATCTGAAACAATTACGCTCAGTGACCAAAGACAGGTGTGTTATAAAATGGGTGCACAGCTCCAATCCCTCCCCCAGCCCTGGCTGACTGCAGGGCATGTGGCGATGGACTCATGGTTCAACATGTCTCCTCTGTGCCTGATCCACGGAAGGGGGAGTCTGTTACAGCGCTCAGCATGCCAGCCTGTCTCTTTAGCTCAATCCCTGGCAACTCATGCTCTAGGGGTCCTCTGTTCAATCCCTGGCATCAGCCAAAATGGCAGCCACCACAAAAGTGGCCCTGTCTTGTCTTCACGTGGGAAGCTGAAAGTAATGTGGCTGATGACGAAAGGGACACTTGTTTTGCTCCTAAGGGTTGCCCAGGGCAGAGCTATAGAGACTCCAGAATGGAGCAAGGCCATGGAACTGTCTGCGCTGAGACAGAAAACATGGAGAGACATGGGTATACAACCAAGTCCTTTCCTTTCACACCTCCGAGGGCATTTAACCTCACCCTGGGGAACGTTCCCTGCTTGGATCATCACAATGGAGCTTGTCTTGGCTGTTCTGCTCTTCCTCTGTTTGCTGAACTCTCCACTGGGGTCAGCTGGAAATGAGCCCATGGAGTGAGAGCGGAAGATCAGAGTTAGGACCTGCCCCAGGAACAGAGTGGAATGTTACTGGTCTCCACGCGCACTGAACTCCCCAGAATCCAGCAGGCCCTGGCCAGCTAATTCACCCTTCTGAAGACTTCCCATCCTTTAATGTCCACTCCCCCCGTACCTCCTCCGTAGCAGCGTGGATTTGCTTTCGTGCTGTGCCGTTGCAGCCTCGGAACCCTATGGTGTACTCCTGGGGCCGCTGGCAGGCAGTGCCATGCCCTGCCAGAATGCCCTGGGAAGAGGGCGAGATGGCAGTCTCCACCAGCACTGGTGCCGACTTCTTCTCAATCCGGGGGGTGCTTGACCCCCTCCCCGCCCCAGGCCCTCCCTCCCACTCCATCCCTTCCCCCAAAGCCCCACCCTGCCTCTTCCCGCCCTTGCGCTACCCCTGCCCCCACTCCACCCCTTCCCCCAAGCTCCCAACCCTACCCCGACTCTTCCCGCCCCCTCCTCTGAGCGCACCCTGTTCCCGCTACTCCCCCTCCCTCCCAGTGCCTCTCACCTTCCACAGTATCAGCTGTTCCACGGTGTGCAGGAGGCACTGGGAGGGAGGGGGAGAAGTTGATCGGCAGGGCTGCTGACAGGGAGGAGGCGCTGGTGGGAGGGCCTAGGGGGGAATTGGCACCTGCTAATTTTTTCTCGTGGGTGCTCCTACATTATAAAATAACAATCTCAGAGACCCAGTTACAGCGTGGTTGGGTCCTGCAGTGTAGATGGGCCCGAACCATACTATCAAATTGTGCTACTGACTTGCTTCGTGCAACTGGAGTATGGTTCGAGGAGACAATTGTGTCCCATCTATTCTACAATATGCAACCAGGAAGCTGGGGGGGCAACTGGGTTGTAAATGGAGCCCCTAATAGGTTTCTTTTTACAGTGTAGCTGGGCCCTGACACGGTACCAGAGCCTCATTGGTCCCTGCCGGAAGAAAGAGCTCAGTGCTGTACAAAGTTCTACAAGCTGAGTGTACAGAGCCACATGAGGGCAGCTGTGCCCATCACCACTAATGTGCAGGCACAATGGAGCATGCCAAGTCATTAGGCAAGGGAAGGAGCTCCACAATAGACTTAGGGAGATGGAAGCTCCCACCTTCCCTGACATACCCTTCTTGGGGCTCATTACTGGAGTGCAGCTGTCACCTCAGCCAGGGGAAAAAAGTATCGGCTTTGTCAAACAATAAGGTCCTAATTGGGCTGGAGACCCGCCAAAGAGTAACAGTTAAAACACCCATGCAAGGGATTGTGGGTGGCGTTATGTAAATTTCATAGAGGCTGAAACAACTGTGCCACAGTGGTAGAGATGAGGCCCCTTAGAGGATGAGAGCATCAGCGTTGCCTGCATGGACATGAATCACGGCCAGCCGCTGAGTTCAGACAACAGGACCCTGCTGTCTGTCAGGAGCCCAGCGCTCACTGCACTGAGTGCAATTCTAACCCAACTGCTATTTGCTGTCAGCAATGCATTTGTTGGCTAGCCATAGTTGCTGGGCTGCAGGCTGCTGCCTGGGTTCAACACCAGGGAGTTGCACGTAGTCTGGTAAGGTCTTTGATTGGGGGAGGTTCTGGGAACCTGCAGCTGCTGCAGCCGGGCTACAGTCAGGGAAGCACCTGTGACAAGCATCAGAGTAAGTAAAAAGGATGCTGTGCTGCCAGCGTAGCTGATCCAGTCTCTGTTTGATGGCCACTCGCAGCATGAACCTGACTCATGAGTCCCTGAGGCTGCAACGCCTCTTGCTGTCAACAACTGTGCTCATGTCTTCCTCGGATTTCCATTCACCTTTCCTCCTCCCTTTTCTTTCAAAGCTTATGGTGCCCATAGCAATGGCCAGTCACGAGCTGTGGGTGAAATGAAGGGAGAAAGGAAAGGCCTGGGCTGCCCTCCCTCTGCCACTGTCTTAGGAGCCTTATAATGCCAGGCTTAATATTGAGTCTTGGCACATGGCCTGGAGGAAACAACCCTGCAGACTGACCTTCGCTTCCCAGGTGCATCCTCAGAAATTTGCTGATGTTCCCAGTCTGAATCAATGGAAATTGTGAGTGGCTTGGCAGCCCTGCTGATTCCTGTGCCCACCTCGGGCTG